TTATTTTAATGAATTTCCTCATAGAATTTAAAAACAATTGGACTTTAGCATTTTTGTTAGTTAATTTTTTTTTTTTTTTGTATTATTAGGCCATGCAATTTTTACAAAAAAATTTTTTGTTGTTAAGTTATAAAAGTACTGTACTTCTGATTTACTAGCATTTATTTAGCCAGAATTTGCTCATCATAATGCTGGCCGACTTTACATAATTCTGGCAATCAGAATCATATATGATCATCACATGCATGTAGCCAATCATTTTTTGTTGACTATAAAATGACACTAGTAACGATAAGTTATACCTATTCAAGTATTCATTTTTTCACAGTGCCAGCTGCGCCATCATATTCCTGGACGTTGTAGTGACGTAGTGTTTTGTTTAACGTCCCCCTTAAAAATTCATTTTCATAGTCAGTGTTCGGACGTTTGTGGAGTATATTAAGGTGGAAATGACAAACGTAAAAATGATGAAGCGACGAACACCGGTGTCAGACATGAACCTGGCCGGCAGGAATTAACTGTAAGATATGTTCCGAGACTCTTGCAAAATGTCTGGCTTGAGATACAGGCTCGTTGAGCGGTGGCAGCAGATTATTTTGTAATGAGCGAGGGCAAAAGTGTAGTCTTAGTAATTGTGTTTATATTTGTCGTTGAAACCTTGTTCTGTTTTCGTAGACGAATTGGGCATGTCAATTCAGTTTGTTTTCTTTTACCTTTTTTTTTTTTTCTTTTAAAAAAAATTAAAAAAAGCTTATTATGGAAGTATAATTCTTTTTTACTTGTTTTTTTTTATTTTTTTTTTAATTAAATACTTATTTTATTTTTTTTTTTGTTTGAGAAATATTCGTTGTTGGCGTCATCGTTCTTTCCGGAGTTTTTTTTAACTACTAACCTAGCTACGTCTTGTAGTGCATGTTGGGTGGTATGAAACATTAGTTTACGCCCGTATTGCTCGGGTATCGCTACTTGTAGTAAAATTTGTTAACCTGTAGGCAAGAGCATGGTAAACCGCATGATCATTCGGTGTATTACAAATGATAAGTAACGAGGATGGCAGTTGATAATACAATTTGTTGGGTTACTTGTCCTGGTAACTCTACATTGTTTAGATAAATTGTTAAACATAAGTCCATACCACGTCCCATTAGCCTTTTGTACCCAAATTCGATCCTATACGTATTTACTTCGTGTCTTTCATCAACGGTTTTTGATGTTTTTTTTTTTTAATATCGATGAGCCCCTCATTTTCAACATTATTTGAGTGTGAAAGAGTTGTTTTTCTACTAGAACTATTGTTTCGAAATAGAGATGGCTTCGGAAATTGTTTTGTAACAATCATTAATAAAATTATAACTTTTACCAATATTTCGTCAATGCTTGGTAAAGAATTGTCTGTCAATTTTGAAGGAATGCGCTCTATGTAATCGTTAACAGGATCATAAATAACCTTTAATTTGAAATGGTTTAGAAATATTACAATTAACTAAAATTAACTGTAAACAATATGATGTTAATGCATATTTATTCACCTTATTAGTTTTTGTTTTCTTTGAAGAATTAAACTTTTTATTGA